AAAGCTTCCAAATGGTGAATAGACCAAGTCGACATACTAGAACTTAAGACCTTAGACCCATACGATAATACTTGTTCATTCTCGAAACCATCCCAAGAGTCCACTTGACTTGCGATGAATGATATTCCCTTGTTCGAAGCGTCACACGAAACACATTGAACACGTTCGCGCAAAGGCGCAGCCAAAACCGGAGCCGTTATCAAAGAGTTCTTTAATAAATCGAAGGAAACTTGTTGTTCTTCACCCCACTCGAAAGCACAGTTCTTCTTAGTTAACCGGATTAAGGGTTCAGCGATTTCTCCATACCGGTGAACATACTTGCGGTAATAGCCACTAAGACCCAAAAAGCTCCTTATGTCGGTTGCATTTGCTGGCACAGGAAAATTCTTGACCTTCGTAATGTTACGTTCACCAGGAGTGTTTCCTTCCGCACCTAAGACATGACCTAAGTATTCCACCTTATCTTTACCAAAAAAGCACTTCTTACGCTTAAGTTTCAAATTGGAGGCGACGCAAGCTTCGAATAGCAACTCTAGATGGACCTTGTGTTCTTCCATGGTATTGGAAAAAATGAGTATATCGTCCAAAAAGACCGAACAGAAATCACCAATAAACTCCTTAAATATAGAGGACATTACTCTTTGGAATTGTGCGCAACCATTTGTGAGACCTTGAGCTAATCTTTTGTACTGAAAAGTACCCTTGCTAGTAATGAACCCAGTAACTTCAGCACCTTCCTTCAACGATAATTGATGATACCCAGACGTACAATCGAAAGTGGAAAACACCTTAGCTGAACCCACATCTTCAATCAACTGCGAAACAGTAGCCGTAGGATAATTCTCCTTTATGATTTGCTTATTCACAGAACGAAAGTCAACCACAGGACGCTTAACCGAAGTTTCCTTTTTATTCACCAAAAAGAGACAGCTTGACCATTCACCTTGAGAGGGCTCGATTATATCAAGATCCAACATTTCTTGCACATGTTGATCCACTAGCTCTTGATCCGACCAACCAAGACGAAAAGGACGATTCCTTACGGGTACAGCGTTATCCTTAAGCCTAATACTTGCTGAGTAGCCCTTGATGCATGTAAGACCTGAGACCTCAGAAAAGCAAGATTTATATTTTTCGATCACCTCGCGTAGCTCTTCATCAACACCTTCGGTGATATTGTCGGCGTTATACTCCAGAACCTTCTTGTCATCAGTACTGTTGTTCTCATCACCAGGGATCAAGTCATCCTCCAAAGTACTACAATACTTTTGGCTAGCCGCGACAACATAGATTTCTTGCTCCTGTTTGGACTTGAAGGGCATACGATTTACATGAGAAGTACGACCTTGAACCTTGATGATACCAGACGAGGTTGGCACCCTTATTTGGGAGTGAACCAAATCCAAAGAAACACCATACGCTTGAAACCATGGGACACCCAACAAGCAAATTTCAGAACCATCTTGCACCGCCATGTGCTCAGGCCTGATTTTACCACCTATTTCAACCGGTACATCCATAACAACATTTGAAGGTTTAGGAACCTGATCTTGGTTGAATCCAATAAGATGTAGACTATCACCATTTGGTACAAGACCAGCAGCAGCACAAACCTTCGATCCCAGAATCGAAACAGACGCACCAGTATCGAACACCGCCTCGATGAATTTGCCATTAATGGAAATCATGGCACGAAGAGGAGAACTAGATTTCATCTTCTGTAAATCATACGGGTAACGATAGACAGATTCAGCATCACTAAACTCCAAATCACCTTCATCTTCAGATAACTGCATGACATCAGAGCTGGTAGAACGACTTGAAACAACACCATAGTCTTCATCAGAAGCAATAGATGAAAAATCATCATCGATATCAACTTCGTTGACTTCCATGGGAGCACTAGTACCAGGTAAATCCTTCAAACCAGCAATGACCTTATCTGTTACACCAACAGACTTATTCCTAGCAACAACCTTAGATTCGCGAAGATACCTAATACCATCAATAATTTCAGCAGCAGCCTCCTTGTCCAAAGATAACCACTCCGCCATAGATATTCCCGCTTCGGTTCCTAAAAGCTTAGACCAAATTTTTGACCTTTTTAATTTAACAGGGTACCGCCTAGCCTTATTCCTAGTCTTGCGCTTGACTTGCTTTTGAAACCCAGAACTAACGACCTTACGATTTGAGGATCCAGCCATAGCTTCAACAGATGGAGGCGCCATAGCCCTTCGTTTGACACCATTGGTCAAAATTTCATTCGCCAAAATTTCCTTAGCACCATCGACCACCGTATCAACCAGTTGGACTTCTTGAGAATTTAGAGGATTTTTATTTATTTTGGGAACATCAGTAACCTCATTATTTACTGATGCTCGTTCTCTTTTCCCGACTCGGCAGAAGAATCAGCAGTATTACCCAAAGGAATACTATTACTACCAGTAGCAGGATTAGAGGCAGGAGCTTGACCTTGATCACGCAAAAACTTGGGGCAATCATACTTCTTATGACCAACTTCACGACAATAAAAACAAGTGAAGACAGGACGAGAACCATTATTACCATTGTTGCTATTGTAGGAGACGAAAGGTTTAGGTTGACCTTGTGCAGCACCTTCATTCAAACGCACCAAATTAATACTGAGCTGTTCAAGTTTAGCCACCAAAGAATGGACGTCGGAACTAGCCACAGAAGAGACATCGGAAAAACTTGACCTAATCGAAGGCTCAGGTTTATAAAGACCTTTCTCAGAAACAGCAGTACGACCAGAAAAATTATATTTCAAGAGACTCTTCTCAACTTGCTTGGCCTTGATTTTAGCACCCTCAAAAGAACTAGGAGTACCGTCCTTTTCTACCTCAAAACCGATATCAGAACGAATAGCCGACAAGAACGTACGAATCTGGAAGGCATCACTTTTATTCTCCAAAAGTTCAAAAAGTTCTTCCATCTTCAAGGCAACATCATCAATACTGTCGCCTTCGCCTTGCTTCATGTTCTGGAGTTGACTCCACCATTTATCTTCTTGGTCAGCCAAATATTGTTTCTTGAATAAGGTAGTAAATTCATCCCAAGAATTTGCCTTGACACCAATGACATTAAACCAAGTTTCAGCCTTTTGAACCAAATGATCACTGACGAGGAAAAGAACTTCATCATCCGTAAGCTTAGCAGAAACCTTCAAACGCTCCATTTTCTTGAGCCAAGTATAAGCCACATTTCCCAAGTCTTCACCAGAAACAGAAACGCCAGAAAAGCTACGCGGTTCACTAACACGCCAGTTAAAGCCCTTTTTCGTAGTTAAAGTATCAGAACCAGATTTTTGAGCCATTGTAGAGAGCACCTAATTACTTGTATTTAATAAACTTTCTCTGGTAGATCGGACCACTTGAAATGAATCTGATTGTCTTTATGTTTACCTTGTATAGAGTAATAAGAATAAACAAATGTATAGAATAACAAGAAGGAGACTGTAAGACTAATTGTTAAAGAATACAGACAAAAAGATATAGATTTGCACTAATAAGCTTTGAAATCTGCAAAGAAGTAAAGATAAATCACAAGTGTTTAAAAACAAGTAAAGTTTATCAGAAAGAAAGAATTCGATGACGTTTATTATTATAAATCAGACAATCTTATATAGACGTTTTGACAGCTGTCAACTATGGTACAAAAATAACTAATACGAAAATGGAATAAAATAATAACAGGGTACGGAAAAACTATGATGAGAACAATACAAAAATAGAGTAAATCAAATAAGGGTACGGGAAAACTATGATGGAAATAATATGAATAATAAGAAAAATAAAGAACTAAACAAAACAGGAAGGTAATAATAAAATAAGTGAGATACGAGAGAGAGCGACGAAATAACAATAAAAATAATTGTAACTGAGAAAGAAGAGAATTTCACGAGTAACCGACTAAGATAATTAACAACCTGCCAATTTTAGAAAAGCAGCAAAAAGACGCGAACTGAACCTTCGGAGAAAGAATACCAGAAAAACTTCTAGAACACCAAAAATAGTTTCACCGCAATATTATTTGTCGGGTCTTTATCACGTATTTTTAGAAACTCTTTTCTCACCGCCAAACTCAGTACCAACTAGATCTCCATTTCTCAGACAAGATTAACGCGCCATTCCACAAATGAGGGAACCAGAACCAAGGAACAAAGAAGAATAACCAAAATAATATTACCAAGCCACTTTTAAAGTGAACGAAAGCGATATCATTACCAAACTGCGCACGCATCAGACATGAACAGCTTCCGTGGCGCAATTGGCTAGCGCGTCTGACTGTTAATCAGGAGGTTGGTGGTTCAAGCCCACCCGGGAGCGTTTCTTTTTATTCTCCTTTATATTTGTGGTGTATGTAGTAAATTTCTCAAATGTGAGGGAGGTCTTCAAATAAACACATTTAATTTTGATACAACAGAGTGTCAGATATAATTTTAGACTAAGCTCTGTACAACTTCAATTTAGATATAACCATTTCACAAAACTATAATTCAATAAAGATCATCTTTGATTTACTATACTTACCTTTACATAAGCACATCTATTAAAATCCTTCTGACAAGAGTGAGCGGATCTTGATGCAGACTCTACCTTATCTATATAAAAAAATACAAAATCAATTATGACTTGGTATTGAATGGGTTCATCTCAAGATAGTTCTATATTAAAGTAAGTAAGAATCTGAGCACCCATCAAACTATTGAAGTAAAAACCTTTCAATTGTTGCTACTTCTGAACTTGGCTCTAGTAATATAACATATGGTATATCTACAGAAATATGTAGGCAGTTGTTATTTAGATCAGGCAAGATCTTCTTGCTATCTTACGCCACATAATGTGGAAGTCATAGAGCGAATTGTGAGTCTCCGATAAACCGGCAGTAGCTTTTGAATCCCAGTCGTGGAAAAAAGATTACGACGAATGTGTCATATAAAAAAAAAGAAGTAAATTTTTTTCTCTCTATTCTATTCTTCACTCTATTTATACTATTATGACCATCAGCTACTACGTACGCCAAGTAACACTGGAAGATATTAAATTTGCCCAAGAGGGTACCGATGTGTATAACTCTGCATACACTACTCACGGTAAGCACATTGACAAATGATGTAACGTATATCAATATCCTAATTTTATACTTTTATTAGATGGCTGGACCACTGAAGCTAGTATTGTTCAAGGAAAATGACAGATAAAGCGACACGAACAATTCATTTATGATAGTGTCAAGACTGATAAGCTCACCCAACTATTTGCTTTCGAAAAAGACGATCAGTGGTAACGACGCCCATGTGGTGGGTACACTTATGATTGTGCCTTTTCCTGATTTACAGGAACTGCCTACACCTGGTGAAGCCATGATTACGAGATTTGCTGTCAGCCCTGATCATCAGTCTAAAGGGATTGGGCCGTCTTTTGATTGAAGGCTCATTTAAAGTAATGAGGGAACAAGGATATGAACGCTGTTCGATCCGAGTCTTTGAGAACAGACCTGAAATTTTGGCTTGGTACACAAAGGTTGGGTTTAAGGACACCAATGAGCGTCGCGCATTTAAAGCACCTGAAGGCAAAAAATTAGTTCTGCCTGTTGGTTTTGTCATTATGAAGTTGGATCTTTAAAGTCTACCTCGTATTCTTTTGAAAAAAAAAACACAAATAAATATTAGAATAAAGTAATACGATTGAACCTGTACAGAGGAATTCAAAAATTGAAAAAAAAAAAAAATGTCTGTATATAATCTTGCTTATATTCTTCATTGAATCAGGGCTGAATATTCAAGAACGTTCTTTTTACTGATAGTGGACATGTTTTAATTCTAAAACCACATGCTTTTGTGCTCATTTCTAACTCCAATTTACTCTTAAGATCATTCCTGTAATTGTATGAATAGAAGACGTTCACACAAATTTCTAAACAGTTCATGTCTTTGCTTGTACTACAGTTCTGAACCAAAACAGCCAGCATAATTGATGCGGATAAGGTCTTAGAAGCTTACCTTATTAAAGACATATGTCAATTGAAGGGATTTCCTCAGGTTAGTTAGTGCTGTATTTTTGACAGAAACAACCAGCTACGTACACTACATTCAAAATAAAAAAAATAAAAAGAAGGTCTCGCCGAGACTCGAACTCGGATGGCAAGATTCAGAGTCTTACATGCTAACCAATTACATCACGAAACCACAATTTTTCAACGGAAAAAAAGTATAAATAATAAAGTATTTTACAAAATTAAAAATCACGTGATAATCACGTTTCGATCATCTTATTGGTGGGATTATTTTGATACTTTTTATTAAGCGGGAAGAAAGCGGTAAATGTTTTACGCTTATAGAAATAAAAAGGAAGAACTTCAATTGGAGGTTAAATATATGGGGGTGCAGCAAAATCAAAATTCCTTTAAATGGAAATAAACGATCATATGCATCAGTGAATGATTGAACACCAATGGAGTACACGGGATGGCGAGGGGAGGGGAGGTGTCTAAGTTCGTGAAATAGTGGGACTTATACGTTTTTTTATAGTACTTTGGACGATGACTACGCACAGAATAAATAGATTTCACAGGTGATGGAATTCGTGATGGGCTATTTCTATCGGATAAATTCTAGTAGACTGTTGAGGAGCGGTACAAATATCGACCTATTTGTAGAAGAACTTCTTCCGATCCTAGAAATTATATCATCCTCGTCTGTTTGTTGTTGATTATTAAATCTCATGGGATTGTAAATCATGGGTTCTGCACGGTTCATTGGAGGACGAGGAGGCTGATTTGTAAACGTGGACTGTATGTTGGGGCCAACTGTTTTTCGTTTTAAACCTTTCGTACATTGTCTAAATCTGTTAATAGATGTCCCAAATATAACGTGCTAGTGACATATAGACCTGTAGCTTTTGAAACTGTTTGTTTTGTCTTCTAATTTCGAATATTTTGTTGCGATTTTTTCTTTCTGTTTCATAGTCATTTATAATCGCTATGTAAAAATATAAGTGCCGCAATTAATAAAGACGGCAGGAGTACCTTAATTACCTTTTTGTTTTTCTCTCTCAACTATATATAAAATTAGTCCATGTGTTCCATGTTTATATGTACAGCTTTAACCTTTAATCATGAATCAATCCCGTTGCATTAATTCGCTTTGGTTTCTCAACTCGTTATATTTTTCTTGGGTGCTCTTTTGAATGACTGCCCTGAAGGCCAGTTCTTGCGAAGTTTGATATTCATAAAAAGCAATTGCCCTAGCACAAACATCCAGAATTATGTCTGGCTTCAAACCTGCAAGCACAGACTTCTTAAAAGTTTTAGTCATGGGCCACAATGACGAGATTTTTTTTTTTTTTTACCGATTTATCCTCTGTCGGATTCAGTTGTTAATGATGATATCGTCACTATTTTAATAAATTAGTGTATATTGATGTGGTAGGGAGTACAAGACAAGCTTTACCTTCCTTCAGACAGAGTAGTGTGACAAGCCGGACATATCAGCTCCTTTGAAAATGAGGAATTTGCGCAGCTTTCACAAAAAACGTCTAAGGGAAACTTTCCAATTAGCAACAATTCATGTCACAGAATAATATCCATTCATACGCGAACAAGAGGTAACGCAGGCCTGTCATGATTATGATTAAGACTGTAATTGTAGGTCTGTATGTACTTACATACCCGCTGCTCAGCAGAGAGAGGTTTTCTACATTTAACAACATTGCAATGAATATCAGGCTCTGTCATTCTACCTTTTTTTTTTTTAAGGTTTGGGGCTAGTGCAGAAAAGAAAGAAAACGGAGTAAAAAAAAAAGAAAGAGAGAAAAAAGAAGAAAAAAAGTGCTTCATATGGTCACAGGTTGTGTAATGGTAAAAAAAGATGGGGTATTTTAATGCGTGCACAAACAACAACGGTAAAAAAAAATGATAAAATAGAGTTTAATGATAAATTCAAGGTCAATAAATATTCAGCGAAAAAAAAAAAAAAAGGGACCCGACTCTTTGTTAATTCTAGTTGAATTTCAATGGTGTAATGTGCCTGGGAAGGTAATAATAATAAGGGTTCAAATACAACTAAAACACGCCGGACATTCAAAGTTGGGTTCAATACACAGACAAAAGGTTCAATTTTCACAATTTCTTTCTTCTTTTTCCTTTTCGGTTAATTTTTTTTTTATTTTACAACACTATGGCTGTCTTTAGTCAACTCAAGAACTTCATCAAAAGTGGAAAAAGCACTTCTTCTTCAAGCATATCTCGACAGTCGACAACACAAAAATATGAGACAGCAGCTCGTATGGTAGAGAGAGAAGATTGCAAAGCAGACCATGCCAACTTATGGAGGACTGGAAGACTATGTTTTAAAGTCTAACTTGGCGAGTAGGTTCATTTCACCCCGAAATTTTGTTCATGAAGAACTAACACTCTGTTTATATACAGTGGTGCTTTCTCAAAAGTATACGAAGCTGTTCAACTGTCTACAAACGAAAAAGTAGCAATAAAAATTGTTCGCAAATTAGAATTAAATAATCAACAGGTAAAAACTTACATATTACTTGTGATAAATAGCTAAAATATCAAATAACATAGAAATCAAGCGTATTAAAAGAAGTACAAATCATGAGGACTTGGATCACCCTTCTATAATCAAATTACTCCATTTCATAGAGACAAAAGAGGTAAAAAAAGAAATCAGTAATAATAACAATAAAAAAAAAAACCAACATTTTTAATTAGCATTACTTCCTTATCTTGGAACTTTGTGAAGGCGGAGAAATTTTTCATCAAATTGTTCGTCTTACGTATTTCAGTGAAGATCTTGCTCGTCATTGTATTCGTCAAGTAGCTGAAGGTATTCGATATTTACATGAAGAAAAGGGTGTTGTCACAGGTACATATTTCATCGCTGCGTAAATAATATACACGTATATTTAAATGCATACACAATTAAATAGAGACATTAAACCAGAGAATTTATTGTTTGTACCAATCGAATTCAAAGAAAGAGATACACCATTACCTCCACCTGAATTTGATGAGCCCAAAGAAGATGAAGGCCAGTTCGTAGCCGGTATTGGTGGCGGTGGAATTGGACATGTAAAATAGCAGATTTTGTTTATCAAAAGTAGTTTGGGATCAACAAACCATGACACCTTGTGGTACAGTGGGTTATACTGCACCAGAAATTGTAAAGGACCAACGTTACTCAAAATCTGTGATATGTGGGCTTTGGGTTGTGTTCTTTATACCTTCCTGTGTGGATTTCCTCCATTCTATGATGAAAGTATTAAGGTATTGACCGAAAAAGTCGCAAGGGGCAATACCATTCTTGAGCCCCTGGTGGGATACAATTTCGGATGAAGCAAAGGATTTAATAGAAAACTTGCTTCATGTTGACCCAGAAAGAGATACACTATTTTAGAATTCCTTGAACATCCATGGATCAAAAACAATACCTATTAACATACATACACACCTCTCTCTTTCCTCCCCTTTTGATATAACATACTCTATTTAACAGGAAATGTCGGATATCGATACGGAAGCCATTATTGCTAGAACCACCAAGCGATTTACCCATTGATTTGACTTCAGTACCCATGTTTACAGCATTGGTGGAAAACGTAGGTGTACCTCCTCACCCCGAAACAGAAGCAGAAGAATTTAAACGCATGATTCAAGAACGCAATAGAGATGAGGAAGAATTAGAAGCAGCTGTCCCTTTCCCATCCGGTATGTCAGCATCCGTGATTAATTCTCGTGCCAACTCACGCGCAAATTCACGTGCACCATCCATCACTGGAGCTTCAGGTACAACTACTCCCCGTCGAGATTTTCTCTGGTGTGTCCTCCATGAAGGAATGTTTGATATTTCTTATGCTGTGCATCGTATGACAGAGGAAAAACAACGTAGAAAGAATATTAACAATCAGGAGATACCTCAAAGAACCGCAGATCGCTATTTATGAGTGCTGTTAATGGGGATGACGATGATATAACGGAGGATGAGATAGATTTAGTAACGGATGAAACTTCTTCAGTCAGACCAGTGAAGAAGACACTGTACATGATTTAAAAGATAAAATTGATGTGATGAATATCATGAATCAGCCCAGTAAGCGAAAAGAAGGTCAAATCAAATAAGCAACACAATCTATTTGAACTGAATATGAACAAAGCTACCTTGTTGGGCGAAGAAAGATCCCTAGTCCTACTCATCAAGTTGATGACTCTCAACAATAAATTAGGGCTGGTTCCTTTCTGTTTGATCATTTATATTCCTGCATTCTACCACTATATCATTATCTTGACACACATTTCCTTTTTCTTTTTCTTTTTCTTTTTTTTTTTTTTAACACTAATAATACTAATAATAATAAAATCAACACTCTTTTTTTTTATTGAATCAAATGACTATCTTTGGCTTTGGATGCAGTAATAAATGCTGCATGAGACCAAGTTAAATCTCTAGCTCCAGCCATAAACCCAATATATCTATCATACTGTTCTGACATGGATCCATTACGAGCTTGATGAAATTGGATCGTTTTCAAAAACTTGTCTGCTGCATGTGTTGTCTTTTTAATAATCTCTTTTAAGGTTGCACTTTCGGGTGAATAGTATCCATCATCCACCTGCATGATTCGTTGAAAGAACCGTCTATTTATACTATTTACCGAAACACCTAACTTCTCCCATTCTGCAATTGCCAAGTAATTAATTCGGTGTAAGCAGCTGTAGCCAAGAACCAAGGATTTCCGACAGATGTATCATATCCGTCATAGATATCTTCAGGGTAACGGCCAATGCATGTACCTAGTGCGTCACTCTGTGACTATTAATGGGATACAATGGCTCAAATGACTCTTCCAACGCAACAACAGTAGCCAGCATCTGTAATTTGTCATTTAATAAATTAAAGATTAAAACCATAAACAAACCTTGTCAGACCCAGGTGTAAAAAATCCTACAATTTAAAATGGTCAATATTCGATTTCATTCCACCCATGATTGCCCAAATTATTATTACCATCATTTCTACTGGCGATAATATTCAGCTAACAATGTAGACACATCTAAACCCGATGGCTTTTGCACACCATTCTGAACGTTCTGAGTAGCCATAATGTAGTTATGCTGTTCTGACCAGAATGTCTCGATTCGCTTACCAATAAGATGACTAGCCAGCTTGTATTCCTCGACGTTACGATTGGATAATTTAAAGAAATCAATGCCATCCAACAAGGCTTTACGCATAACCATTAGGGTAAAGAAATGTGTACCTATACCTCTTCCCACAAATCAAAACTAGGTTGATACCATACTTTGCTAATATAATCCAGTCCCTAATAATAGCCGGTACAAGAGTATCATGAATCCAAGGCTGTCTTGTAACCGTTGTCTAGCCATCGGTTTGCAATCAAGAAAATGTGATGGCTCTTTCTGCAGGACCATCATTTTGAGGTCTACCCCAAGTACCTTGAAACTTGATCCATCCTTGTTGAACTTTGGTTCACCCAGACAATTGCAACGCGTACTTGTCTTTTGTACATCCATTTGAAAGTCGACATAATCATGCAACAAGGTATCATTGGTCTCTTGCAAAGAAGTAGCACACGAGCAACTAAGGCTGAATCTCTTGTCCATGTATAGAAATAATCAGGTTGATGTGTTGACAAGGAAGCAGCAAAGAAACCCCTTTTAGTACCGGGTGGATTGATATTATCAATATCGTTTCAAAACTTGTTTTATGTTGCTTTGAAATCCACTGATCAAGATCAATGTCACCTTGTACAGGATATATATCAAGGGAGCAAATAGCAGTAAAAGCAAATATCTAGTAAACATGATGAAGAAGAAAAAGAAATTTTTTTCTTTTGCATACGTTTTTATAATAATGACATACTGTAACGTGATTTGGTAGTCCGAGCTTGTCAATCAGATGCTGTTGTTTATAATCAGGTGGTTAAGCAACATGCTGTTTGTTGGCTTTGTGTTACTTGACTGGGAGTGCACCACTTCAATTCGATACTTGATTTTTTTTTCAGACACATGTTGATGATACAGATTTCATTGTAGTTGGTCAGCCTTTACACTGTAATCACACGATGAGATTTATGATTCTAGATGCGTTGACGTATCTGTACGTTATTCTGTTTTATAAAGATCCATGTTCATGCTGCTGATGCTCTCCAACTGCAGCAGCCACAAACTCCGACTGATGGGCTTCATGGACCCAAAAGTTGTTGTGACAAAGTTTGATACTTCAATTGAACCCTATACTTGTATCACACTGAAAAAGGATTAGGAATCAAGGCTAATGAGAGGAAGTGTTAACTGTCAAAATGTGAACAAAAAAATATTTGAAACGACGCATGCTTCTTTTTATAAAAAAGCCACCTGATATTTTTTTCCAGATACTTTTTTTTTTTTTTTTATCAGTTCTCGAATTTTCTTTTCTTCTATATACACACAATGGCCAAGGAAAGAAATCAACCAAGCCCGTCGCTTCTTCTAACTGGAAGAAGCTTTTACCTGTAAGTAAATTTACGATCGAAGAAACTTGACACAGTAGTTGACAGATCGATACTAGACATTGCTCCTGCCGATTCAAAGAAAAAGAGAAAGGCTCTGACGATTTCGAAATCAGTCCTAATTTCAAGTGTTGGGATAAGAGACAAAGAATTGAGTAAGTAACAACTGCCGCAGGAAAAAAGAAAAGAAAAAGGGAAACTAAAACATGCAGCACAGGAAAATGAAGGCTTCTCACATTGCTAAAAACAGTAACCACCACCACCACCACTACCATACCAAAGAAACGATACCCCAAAGATGAATGGTTTGGAGAGTGTCGATGAAGATGACTTGAAGAACGTGTATGCACACAAGGAAACACCCCAAGAACAAAAGTTGAAAAAGAAGAGTTTGGTAGCCAAAATGAATGCAGTTACAGGCGATCAAGCAAGATTAGGTAAATACGTTGCCATCGATTGTGAAATGGTGGGTGTTGGACCTGAAGGAACCGACTCAGCATTGGCTCGTGTGTACTTGTGAACTTCCACGGTGCAGTGTTATTAGATATCTATGTCAAACCACAAGAAAAATAACAGACTATCGTACACATGTCAGTGGTATCGAGGCAAAACATTTAGAGTCAGAGGAAGCTTTATCATTTAAAGACGCACAGTTCAAGGCAGAGGCAATCATTCGTGGACGTATCTTGGTCGGTCATGCTGTTTATAACGATTTACAAGCGCTCATGATCTCTCATCCAGCATTGTTAATTCGCGATACTTCTCGTTATAAGCCTTTCCGTAAATTAGCAAAGGGCAGAACTCCTGGTTTGAAAATGTTGGTTAATGAAGTGTTGGGCATTTCCATTCAATCAGGATCTCATTCATCTGTGGAGGATGCTAGATTCACAATGCAACTTTATAAGAGCGTCAAGCTGGAATGGGAAAAATCCTTTGGTGCCAAGTCTGGCTTAATTTTAAAGAATTTCAGCAAAGGAAGAGCAAAACAGCAGTAAAAAGAAGGTGTCGATAAAGGAGGTCGCTGAAGATTCCGAGTCAAATAGTCAGTCTGATTCCAACAGTGATTCTGACAGTGAAGACGATGCTTCTGACGATGAAGAGTAAAACTAAAATAAAATGAACCGACGCATAAAAATAATTAGAAAAAAGCGTCACTGACCTTTAAAAATAAGCTTTTTTTTTTTTTTTTTTTTTTTCGTTCTTCTTTCCCCTTTCCCCCCCTCTTTTCTCTCACAATGAGTTTATCGGTAGCTGATATATTTGAAGATTATTTAGAAGTAAAACGAATTCTCGATTTTATTTCAACAGAGTTCTAACTCTAAGAATAGGTTTGCAAAACTTGCCATCTGAAATCGATCAAAATATGCATGAGTTAAGACGAATGGATGATGATCTACAAAGTAAGTATATTCTATATGCATTGCACTTTTTCTTTAACTTGTTCTTAAAAAAGAGTTCCGAGAGAATACACAAGACATAAACGGTCTTACATTAAGCAGTCCAAAGCGTTAGAATCAACCGATACGCTTGCCATGGTATCTGCTCGATTGCAGTTGGAGAAAATTATAGACGGCCATGCAAAAACAGGATCAAAAATTGAATTAGCCATGAGAATGTACGACCTTGTGTCACGACCATTGAGAGGTTAGATTCTCAGGTCATGACAAAGAGTAATCTAAACAAGTCTGACTGGATCAGAAAGGGACCTCAGAGAAAGAGACTGGATGGTGGCATTCGCAAAAGGTAGAGATTTGCATTTCTTTCCTGTTTATACATATACAAAACTGATACCACACAGAATTCATCATTCGTCCCGCCCGAACCCTCTGATCGGTCATTCAACTCACTGGTACAAGTGGTGATATCGATCCAATGAGCCTACTATTGTTATTGTGGTCAAGTTCTTTTGGTGATTGATCGCCTGTGACGGTGAAAACGTAAAGTAACTCTCCCTACACTCAATTTCACCCCTACTTAATCTTTCTTAGTGTGAGAGGAATGGTTTCATTAGCCTGTGTGGTCTTATAGAACCGCCCGCGGGCAATGGTTTTGTGAAGAATGCAACAATTTAATGCAATATAGCAGCAGTAGCGGTGAAGACTCTTCCTCTTGAAAATATACCTTTTTTTTTTATCATTAAACACCGATAATCCTGTCTGCACCCTTGTGTTCGATCTTGGGCAAACGTTCACAGTTCCACATAATAAAGCTTCGTTACGCCATGCAGACATAAATTGGGAAACTTGGGGGGCATACGTCAAGTAAATCATTGCAAGTCCACAATATGCTATTTAGTATAACCTTCGAAAAAGCAGCATATACGGTTCGTCATACGGGCACGGAATTATTGAGCACGGACATAATCATGACTACTCCTATCATGTTATGAGATGAGGAGCAAATAATAACACTAATATAGGTACTGACATTATGAATTTCACTAGAAATAATGATCAGATGGGTTAGGTATCAAGATTTCAATTCAGACTCACTAGCTATTATAAATTACGATTTAAAGAAGGTCAAGATTATATTCCATGTAGAATATCACAATTAAAAATCGCTCTCGATTTATTCAGGTATGCGAAGGATATCGTCAGATCAGACAAATCAAGAAATCCATCGTAGTTATATTCAATTCACAGCAGGTTTTTATAAAGTACTGGTATTTTGGATAAAAGGACCCGTCGAAATGGAGTCAATGAAGTCCAATCATCAATTGTAGCGGAGTTAAGGATAACGAGAGAAGTACACCTATAAAAGACTAATACAAGACTGTAGACCCGAGACATTGGTAATGTAGATATCAACTACAAAAAGATTATTTACAGGTAGATATCTACTACCCTTGAAATCAATACGATAAGGCACTAGCAGCGCCTCACTGTCATGAGCTACAACAGCTGCCACCTACCAATACAAAATAAGATAGGGGTTTTTTAGGAGATTGCGCAAGGGTTAATTGAAAAAGGTCCCAACCCGATTGACTTATGAGCGCTGACCCGGTATTATGAGCACTAGCGTTTATTAATAAAGTACTATGGTGGCGTCATTGACAAAATGAGTAACAATCTTACTTCTAAGCTTATTATATGTAGAGCTTTTTTTTATTGCGATAAAGACACCATTGAGTGATTGGTTGCATAGTGGATTAACAGCAGTAAGAAGACTCTTTTATCTTCTATAAAATATTACAAACTAGCTTCACACAGTATATAAGCTTATTTTAAGACACGAATATGCTTTATGAAGATCCTAGCAAGACATGAGAAAGGATCTACTTTTGCGTCGCATGATTTAATAGAATGCGTGATTTTTTTTTAAGAAAAAAAAACGAGAAGAAATCCATTATAAATGAATCTTCAATATGAAAAAAAAAATAG